TCGAGTGAGCGGGGAGAAGCCAGGAGCGATCCACGAAGAGCGAGGAGCGACCAAGGGAGGAGCGACGGCCGAGGAGAGAGGGGCGAGGAAAGAGAACCAGGGAACCGAGGAGGGAGGAGGGAGGAGCGACCAAGGGAGGAGCGAGGGCCGAGGAGAGAGGGGCGAGGAAAGAGAGCCGAGGAGGGAGGAGGCGCTAGACTGGAGGCACACGGAAGTGGCAAATAGGCAGGATGTGCTCCTCGCGCGCGCGCGGGCCTCGGCAGTGTTGCATAGGTGGCGGTGCGCTCCAACTGCGCCTCCCGCACCTCGAGCAGCAGCGCCAGAGCCCGCTGCCACTGATCGCCCTTCTCGCACGCGCTGATCCCAGCGTTGTAGCTGACCCGGGCTGGCCCGTGGCCTGCCGGCCACGGAACAGGTCCGAGATGACACGCTGGGCCCGGGCAGGGATGTTTGCCGAGAGGCTTTCGAGCTGGCGCTGGGCCCTGCACGTCGCCCCTGCTCATGCTGCCTGCACCCGCCTCTGGGCCGGGTGCAGGCGGAGTTTGGGCGAAAAGTCAAGAATACTCAAACAATACCCCTAACATAGTCACAACATGGTCAAACAATGGTCCCCAGACTATGCTTTGGCCATCTTTGGATATTCCCCCTGTAGAGGGGCAGGCCTGGCCTACACCTGCCTTGCACGTCCACGGCGAGCGGCCCGACGTGATTCCGGTGCTCCAGCGGCGAGAGGCTGCCGGGGGGGCAGGGACGGGCACGCCAAGTCTGGATGAGGCGGGGCGAGGGTGTGGTGTGATGCCAGGCTGCGCAGTCAGGGCGCTGACCTCAGGAACCCTAAATAAGGAACGAGTCTCCCTTTTTCCTTAAGTTTAATTTAGATTTCCGATCGAAAACCGAAGGTAAACCTAAGGTAAGCGGTAACATAACAAAGGAGCACGGAGCACCTCCCCAACGAAAAGGGGTTCTTCTTCAGCGCCCCGACTGTAGGGGATGGGTTGGGTCCCCAGACATGATCGCGTCGTGCAAACATCGCGACGGGAAGCTCTTGCCAATTTTCGGCCTCGGGGGGCCCTCGCAGAGCCTCGGGACCGTCAAAAACGACCCAAGATGGATAACCTGCCCGGGGGAAAGCGTCTGGACTTCCAGGGGCGCCGTCCTGAAAAAATCAGGACGTCGCATGTCTGGGTCGGTGACTTCTTGAACTGCCTGGCAAGCCGCTTTTGCTGACCTCTGCGCCTCAGGGGCCGAGGAGGCACCGCACGTGCTGCCTGGGCCCGCTCGCGCCCAGGCTGCCTGACGCTTCGGGTCCTTGAGGCCCAATAGCTTGCCCAAGAAAATCCCAAGTTTGCGCTCATGCAGGGCCAGCACAGTCACATGTCCCCGACCAGCGCCACAGCCCAATGCCACTGCATGCCTTCCTCGGACACGCTGATCCCAAATGTGTAGCTCACTAGTGCTGGCCAGTGGACTAGCAAGTGATTGTGGACATGCTGCCGAAAAACTGAGATTAGAACGTGGGGCTCGACCCTCGCATTCCCCGCATGCTACTGCTTGCTGCCGCCGTTGCGTGCTGTTGGTAATGCTTGCGGCTGCTGCGTGTCGTTGCTGCTTGTGGCTGCAGGGTGCTGCTGATGGCAAGTTCTGCTTGTTGCGTGCTGCTGACCGCTGTCTGCTGCTGCTGCTGCTGCTGCTGCTGCTGCTGCTGCTTGCTGTTGCTGTGTGCCGCCGCTGCTGCTTCCTGCTTTGTGTGCTCGTGCTGCTGCCGTTCGCTGCTGCTGTTTGACGCTGCAGGGCGCTGCCTCTCGCTACTTCAGCTTGCTGGCGCAAGTTGCTGCCAGGGCACGATCGAGGAATCAGGATCGAGAAGCTCGAGGAGGACAGGGGGGAGAAGCAATGAGCGATCAGCAAACAGCAAGAAGGGAGGAGCAACTGCCCAGGAGAGAGGGGCCGAGGGGGGAGGCGAGAGAGAGAGAGAGAGAGAGAGAGAGAGAGAGAGAGAGCCGAGGAGGGAGGAGGCGGGAGGGATGAGAGGACCGCGGGCTCCTTTGCGGTCGGGGGGCGAGGGAGCTGCAGTGAGGGCCCCTGGAACGTGGAGCCGTGTCGGGGCCTTCTCTGGGGCTGCTCGGGTTCCACTGGGGTGTTACTGGGCCTCCCAGGGCCATCCCTTGCGGGTTGTGGGGGCCGTCAGGGGCTTCGATTGGGGGCCGCTTGGGGGGGGGTTGCGAGGGGGCCGTCGTTTGGTCACCCTTCGAACCCTGGTCGGGCCTCCTCGGGGCCTTCTTGGAAAATTTTGGGAGCATTCTTGGGCCGTCTTTGGGACCTCCTGGGCCGTCGTCGGGTCATGTTGGGGGTCTTGGGCCGTCTTGGAGCCCGCTTTGGGCTCTGACTCTCTTGGGCCGTTTTGGGACTCTTGGGGCTGTCTTAGGCTGTTTTGGGGTCCTCTTGGGCCGTCTTGAGGCCCTCGTCGAGACCTCTTGGGCTGTCTTGTGGCGATCTGTGAGGCCCCTGGGGCTGTCTGGGGCCGTTCTTGGCCCGAAATGGCGAGGACCTGAAAACTTACCAAAGACCATACGAAAATCAATGTTCTGGGCCTCGTCGGACCGTCGTCGGGGTCCTCCTGGGCTGTCGCGGGAGCTTCCGGGCCCCTCTTCGGGCGCTCTGGGGCTCTCCAGGGGCGCCTTTCGGGTCATCTGGAAGCGTTTATAGAAGCCGACTTGGCCATCTTGGGGCCATCTGGGACTCTCCGGAGCCTTTCCGGACGACCCCCTGAGGCTCCCTGAGTGAGCCCCGACGCTCCTGCCCTCCATCGGTCCCCGGTCCCTTCTCGCACGCATGCGCCACGGTCTTGTGAAGATGACGACGTTGGGCTCCAGCTGCGCCTTCCGCATCTCGCCGAGCAGCGCCAGAGCCCGCTGCCACTGCCTGCCCTTCTCGCACGCGCTAATCCCAGCGGTGTAGCTGACCGAGGCTGACCCGTGGCCTCCCAGCCACTTCACAAGTCCGAGATGACACGTTGGACCTCGGCAGAGATGTTGCCGAAAGGCTTTCGTGCTGGCGTTGGGCCCAAACTTCTCCTCTGTGAGGAGGAGGAGGAGGAGGAGAAGGAGCAGGAGGAGGAGGAGGAGGAGGAGGAGGAGGAGGAGGAGGAGGAGGAGGAGGAGGAGGAGCAGGAGAAGGAGGAGGAGGAGGAGCAGGAGGAGGAGGAGGAGGAGGAGGAGCAGGCTGCTGCTGCCTGCGGATGTGTGCTGCCGCTGCCTGCTGCGGACTGCTGTGGGTCGCCGCTGCTGCTCGGGTCTTCAGAGTGCTGTCTCCTGGTGCCCTTGTTAGATTGAAGGGGAACTGAGACACACAAATAAATACACACAAATAAAAATATCCCCCATATGTTCCAATATTTTCTGGGTTTTTGTCTTCCCCCTCACTTCCCATATTTTCCCATATTTTCTGGGAATCGACGATTAATTGTGTCTGTGTGTTTTCCCCCCTCCTGATAGATGATGCAACCTGCAGCTCGTGTGTGGAGCGAGGAGCGAGGGCAAGGAGCGAGGAGTCAGGGTCGAGGGGGGAGGTGGGGGAAGCGAGGAGTGATCAGCGAGGAGCACGGAGCGAGAAGCGAGGAGCAACGGCCGGAGAGAGAGAGAGAGAGAGAGAGATAGAGAGCGAGAGCGAGAGCGAGGGAGGCGAGGAGGGATGAGGGAGAGCCGAAGAGGAGAGGGGAGGCAGGCGCCAGTAGCCAGGAGGGAGCAGCGATGGGCCAGGAGAGAGGTGGAAGGAACGAGGAGCAGTGAGCACAGAGAAGCCAGAAGCGAGGAGAGGGAGGCGAGGGGCGAGGTGAGGGCGGGGAAGAGCGAGGAGCGTGGAGCGAGAAGGGAGGCGTGAAAATTCTGTACGGCCTCGGCGCGCGTGTGGCCGAACATCTGGTCTCCTTCGCTCATTGCGGCTCTCTTGGGTGGCCGGTGTGGTCACAGAGCTCTCCAGGGGTTTTCCCTCGGAGGCCTCTTCGAGGCGGTTTTTGGGGTGTCTTGGGGCTTCTCGGGGCCCTCTTGGGGTCTGATTTGGGCGTCTTGGGGACCTCCTGGGGCTTCTGGGGGGCATCTTTGGGGCTTTCTGGTGGTCTCGCGTGTCATCTCAGGGCGTGGAGCGCGAAATGCTAGTTCGAGTTCCCCCTCTTGGGGGCCTCTTGGGGCCTTCCTGGGCCGTCTCGAGCGCATCCAGGGCCGTCCTGGGGCCTCTTCTTGGGCAGTCCGACGGGGGCCTCTGAGGCTGCCCGGGGGAATCCGGGGGGGCCTCCAGGGTCTGCTGCAACGCAGCGAGACAAGCATAAAAGGGTAAGGCACACATGCACGCACTTGAGTACAGTCGGGGCGTTGACTTAACGAACCCTAAATAAGGAACGAGGCTTCTTGTCCTCCATGAGTTAAGCTTCGATTTCCCATAGAAAACCAAAGGAAGCCCAAGGCAAACTGCGAAACAATGAAGGAACACAGAGCCCCTCCCCAACGCAAAGGGTTCCTTCTTCAGCGCCCCGACTGTAGTGGGAATAACTGGCGATTCTGGGCTGTCCTGGTTGTGGATCTCTCTTGGGGCGTCTTGGGGGCCTCTTGGGTCGTCTGGGGCGCCTCTTCGGTCGTTTTTGGGCTCCGCTGGGCCGTCGTATGGAGGGCGTGGCCCCAGGCCCGCAGTGCTATCGGAGCTACCCTGGGGGCGCTTTTCGGCCTCCCCGGGCCTTTCGGAAGCAAAAAAGCCTAATCGGTGCACAGCACAGTCTGGCAGGCAGCGGTTCCTGCAGTGTAGGAGAGACAACGTTGGGCTCCAGCTTTGCCTCCCACATCTCGCCGAGCAGCGCCAACGCCCACTGCCACTGACGACCTTTCTCGCACGCGCTGATTCCGGCGTTGTAGCTGACGACGTCGGGCTCCAGCCTTGCCTTCGGCATCTCGCTGAGCAGCGCCAAAGCTAGCTCCCACTGCTTGCTCTTCTCGCACGCGCTGATCCCAGCGCTATAGCTGACTAGGATGGTCCCGTGGATTAAACTCATGGCAGGCAGATGAATATGCTGTCCAAGACTCCTGGGTGCAAGGGACGGGGTGCAGAAGACACGGGGCTCGAAGAGGGGGTCCTGGGGCCGGCTTGTGCCCGTGTTGGGCCTCCCCGTGGCCGTGCTGGGCCCTCTTGGGCCGCGGTCTTGGGACGGCCTGGAGGCCATCTTGAACTTTTGTTCTAGCAGTTTGGGGCCCTCTGGGCCAGTCCAGGACCAGGCAAGCAAGGATACCATCAGCATCCAAGCCGCAAGGACCTCCAGTGCTTTCGCCTCTCAGGGGCCTCCTCTGATCGTCGTCGGTTCCGTCGTCGGGCCTCCAGGGGAGCGCATGTCGGGGTATCGGGCCCGCCTCGGCGGGTGCCGGGACCACGGCGAGGCAACCTGGGAGCATCTTTGCACGCGTCTTGGGGTCCCTTGGGCCTCCTAAGACCGTCTGGGGCACTATGGCGCCCTTCTCGGGGCAGCCCTGGCCCTACTGGACCGTGTGGGGCGGTCGAGGGGTGGTCAATGGGGCTGTCTTGCGGCTCTGCAAGGGCCGTCCAAGCTTTCTTGGACCGTGTTGGGGCAGTCAGGGGCGATGTGCAGGCGATATTGGGGCTCCATTGGGCTGTCTTGGACGCACATGGGCCCGTCACGGGGAGGATGAGGAGCAGGAGGACAAGGAGAAACAGAGGAGGAGGAACGACCAGATACCTTGATGTTTTCCTTAGGGGCCTTTGAGGGCGTCATTGGGGCCTTCACCCCGGCCGTGTTGGGGCCTACTGGGAGTGCATGGTGTGGTCGTTTGGGGCCTTCTGGAACTTCCTGGAGGCTTTGCGGAGACCGTGGGCGAGAAGAGGCCGTGAAGGCCGAAGCCATTAAAACGTCCCCCAGAGTTCACGTTCGATTCGGCTCTTGAGGGGACGTATTGTGGACCCCTCGTAGCTCCCTAGGGCGATCTTCAGGACCTTCTCCTTTCTGGCGGCCCTCTGGGATTGTGTTAGGCTGAGGGGGTCTCTCCAAATCCTCTCTTTGACTTATCGGGGCTGTCAAGGGGCGCCCTGGGAGTTGGGTCGGACCAGCCCAGGAGTGGGCAAGCGGGAGGGCGTGCTGCTCCGCGGAATCGCGAACTTCGCTACCGACCGTTCTCGCACCCAAACTGGGCCTGGCATATTTGCGCTGATTACGCCATTCCGCTTCAATTGCGCCGCACACCTCCCTTGTCAACGACTGCACCGGCATCCTTTGTCCGCCTTGCTCACACATGCTGGTTACAGTTCCATCAGGGAAGACGCCTGGGTGCAGTATCATGAAGAGTAGTTCTCTGAGCAACGACAGAGCTCTCTGCCACTGATCGACTTTCTGGCATGCGCTGATCGTAGCGCTGTAGCTGACTGCTGCTGACCCGTGGCCTGTCGGCCACGAAACCTGTCCGAGGTGGCATGTTGCTTCAAGGCGCAGGTGCTGCCAGAGGCCTTTCATGATGACGTTGGGGCCGCACCTCTCCTCTGCTGCTGCCGCCTGCAGCTGCCGGGTGCTGCCGCCTGCGGCATCGCTGATGCTGCTCCCTGTTGCCGTGTGCCGCCGCTGCTGACCGCGGACTGCTGCTGCTCGGTGCTGCTGCCTCAGGCTGCAGGTGAAGGGGCCCCAGGACACACACACATAAATACACACAAATACAAAAAAGATGCCCCCTCTTTTCCCATATCTTCAGAGTTTTTGTCTTCCCGCCCCATTCCCATATTTTCCTATAGTTTCCTGGGGATCGACGATCCATCGTGCCTGTGTGGTTTTTCCCCCTCCTGAGCAGGCTGACGCTCCTCGCCGCTCCGCGCCAGCCGACCCCGCCGCTCGCGAGCGGATCGAGCAGCGAAGGGCAGGGCGCGACGGCTCGGGGTCGAGAGGGGCCTCGGGAGGAGCAGAGGAACAGACCGAGCGCACCCAGGTGCGAAGTTCGGGCGATGCCAAGTGCATTCTAGCCCTGACTATGAGCGGCGCTTGCAGCGGCAGGCGCGGCGGCAGCTGAAATTTCTTCCACGGCCATGCCGTGGGTAGCTGCGCGCAGAAACTTGGTGAGGCCATCGCGCCCAGAGAGGGCGCGCGAGTGGGGGCCTCGGGAGGAGCGAGGAGCGATCCTCGAGGAGCGGGGGGTGATCAGGTCAGGTCGGGCACGTCCCCCATACAGGCGGATTCTGGGCGGAATGTAAATCACCCCAGTGCGACCCTACCTAGAAGTTGGAGCCCCTAGGAAAGCAGCATTAGTTGCTATGCTATGCAATGCTATGCTATGCCATGCTATGCTGCGCTATGCTATGCTACGCTATGCTATGCTATGCCATGCTGCGCTATGTTATGCTATGATATGCTATGCTAAGTTATACTATGTCATGCTGCGCTGTGCTATGCTGTGCTGTGCTGTGCTATGCTATGCTATGCTGGGCTATACTATGATATGCTGTACTGCGCTATGCAATACTACGCTATGATATGCTGTGCTCTGCTATGCTAAATCTCGGCGAAGCTAAGATGAAGGTAAGCTAAACTAAGATAAACCTGAGCCAAGATGAAGCTAAGATAAGCTAAGATGAAATGAGCTAAGCTAAGATGAGATAAGCAACGCTAAACTAAGGGGACGTAACCGGGGGAACCGCGGGGCGGATGCTGGGGGAACCGCCCGGGGCGTGTAGCACTGCCCGGCCCTTTAAGCCAAGAGAGCAAGAACCCTTCTAGGAAGAGCCTAGGTAGGGAAACACAATCAAAACATGCCCCCCCCACCTGGTCAAACATACCAACAAAAATGGTGCCCAGACTAGTTTGGGACTATTTTTCAATTCCCCCCCGGTAGAGGGACGTGCCCGACTCGATGATAAGGGAATAAGGGAGGAGTCACGGCCGAGGAGGAGAGAGAGAGAGCCGAAGGGGGAGGAAGGGAGGAGCGAGGAGGGAGGGGGAGCGAGAGCCGAAGGGGGAGGAAGGGAGGAGCGAGGAGAGAGAGAGAGAGAGAGAGAGAGAGAGAGCGAGGAGGGAGGAGCGAGAGCCGAAGGGGGGAGGAAGGGGGCGGCCGGCGCCAGCAACCGGAGAGGGAGGAGGGGAGGAGCTGGCAGAGAGGAGCGAGGAGGAGTGCAGAGGAGCGAGGAGCGAGCGCATCCGGGAGAGAGCGGCGAGGCGCGAGGAGAGGGCGGCGAGGAGCGAGGAGCGAGCGAGGAGCCAGAAGGGAGGCTCGAGAGACGGCCAGCGCACGAACGTTCGAACTGCCGCGGCGCGCATGCGGCCGACCACCTCGCCTTCTCTTGGGTCGCTCGTGGGGTTGCCTTGGGGCCTTCCAGGGGCATTCTTTGGAGCTTCTTGGGCTCCCTTGGGGCTCTCCAGCGCCTCCGGGTGCCCTCTCGGGGACTCCATGTGTTGTTGTAGGAATGTTTGGGCCATCTTGGAGGCTGGCTGGGCCTATCTTGGTCCATCTTGTGCTTGTCGTGCGCTCTCCTGGGGGCTCCTGCGGGGGCCTTGGGCCCTCTTGAGCTGAGCCAGGGCATTGGTGCAACCATGTGGAGCCGAACAGTGGGGAGTGGTTGGAATGAGCGAAAAACTAAAAAAGAACTAATTCCACCAATTTCGCCTGTCGGCGGCCCACGGCGGACCCACCGTAAAGCCTCTCGGGGCCACATCTGCGTCATCTCGAAGCGCTTTGGGGCCTGTAACCCCGCAAAGCCCTCCGAGAGCCCCAGGGCAGTCCGTCCAGAGACGTCTTGGAAGCGTCCAGGGGCCCACACGGGGCTCTCAGGACTGCTCCGGGAGGAGCCTGGTGCTGTTTCTGGGCTTGTTGGGCTTTCCGAAGGCCTTCCCAGAGGCTCTGGCGCTCTCTTGATGCAAAGCCCTTCTGGCACGCGCGGGGTCCTACAGTATAGTAGAAAGTAGAAGAGAGTAGTGTGAACCCGTGGATAAGATCCAGGGTGTGCTGAACATGGGATTCGCGAGCCGTGGGTGAACAGCTCGTCGAAATTGAGCAGCTTGGGTGTCTGTGGGGCCCTGCGGTTGTTTTCGCCGACGGCTGGTTTCGCCTGGCTGGTTTCGTCACCCCACCTGCCGGTTCTGCCGAAGGCTGGTTTCGCCGACCCGCCCGTCGCCGCCGTCGTCGTTCGTCGTCGTCGTCACCGTCGTCGTTCGCCGCCAACGCCGCCGCCGCCGCCGCCGCCGCCGCCGCCGCCGCCGCCGTCGTCGTCGTCGTCGTCGTCGTCGTCGTCGTCGTCGTCGTCGTCGTCGTCGTCGTCGTCGTCGTCGTCGTCGTCGTCGTCGTCGTGGTCGTCGTCGTCGTCGTCGTCGTCGTCGTCGTCGTGGTCGTCGTGGTTCGGGTCCAACGCGCTCGCGTGCTGGCGAGCCCCCCGCCCGCTTGAATGTCCCGCCCGCCCGACCGTCCCCTGTAAGGTCCCGCCCGCCCGACCCGCCCGTTTGGGCCCCGCCCGCCCGACCCGCCGCCCGTCAAGGTCCCGCCCGTCCACGTGCTGGCACGCTCCCCCGCCCGCTTTCGTGTCCCGCCCGCCCGAACGTCCATGTAGGGCCCCGCCCGCCCGACCCGCCCGTGTTGGGGCCCCGGCCGCTCGCTCCACTGCCCCCGCCCGCCCGACGCGCCCGTGGCAGGGCCCCGTCTGGGTCCTGCTTGCTCACGTGCCGGCAAGCCCGCCCCACCCGGCCGGCCCGCTCGTCAGGGCCCCTCCGGCCCGATCCGCCCGGCCAATTCCCGCCCGCCCGACCGCCCCGTTAGGGTCCCGGCCACTCGACCCGCCCGTTAGAGTCCCGCCCGTTAAGGTCCCGCCCGACGACGACGACGACGACGACGACGACGACGACGACGACGACGACGACGACGACGACGACGACGACGACGACAACGCTGACCAGCGCCCCGGCGAAACCAGCCGTCGGCGAACCCAGTTCCCGGCGAAACCAACCGCCAGCGAAGCCAGGCCAGCGAAACCAGCGCTGGCGAAACCAGCGCCAGCGAAACCAGCCCGTACCGTCGGGGGCATGTTGTGTCCTCCTGCGAACCTTTCTGGGGCGTCTTGAAGGCCTCTTGCAATATTCTGGACACCTCTGGGGCCGTTCCTGGGCTGGCCCCCAATTCCTCTTCTGGGGGACAGCCTGGAAGCTTATTGTAGAATCGCCCTGAAGCCGTCCTGGGGCGTCCTATGGGGCTCTGACGGGCTCTGTGGGGACTCTCTCGGGGTCGTCTTTGGAAGAAACTTAGGGCTTTTCGGGACCATCTTCGGGCGCTCTGAGGCCATCTGGGGAGCCTTTTGGGCCGTCGAAGGCCTCTCTTGGGAGTCTCTTGGGTAGTGTTGGCGCGATGTAGGAGGCGCTTGGGGCCGTCTGGAGCCGTTCTCGAAGCGAATCGGGGAGAACCTGAAAATTCTATCACAACCTCAGGGGAAGCCTATGATTTTGGCCTCGTGGGGCCAGCATCGGGGTCGAGGCCTCCGGGCGTGTCTTGGGGCTGTCTTGGAGCATCTGGAGGCTGCGCTCGGGTTCTCGGGTGCCTTCCGGGCGCTCTCTGGAGCGTCTCCGAGCCGTCGTTGGACGTCCTGGAGCCTTCTGGTGGCCGCCCTGGGCCGAGCTACTGCAGTGCAATCTCACACGCACTGACTCGAGCCTTGTAGTGTAGGCTAGTATTTTTCTATGTTTTTTTGTTGTTTCTGTTTTCTCTCCCTCAAGGACCAATCCAGTCTCGACAGCCGCGCACTCGTTCAGGGCCGACGCTGGGCGGAGGCGCAGCAGGATGCTTCCACGCCGGCAATCCAGGCTGGTGTAGGCTAGTGTATACCCGAGGGTTGAAACCACGGCGTGCTGAACCTGGGACTCGCACACCGTGGATTTAATCCACAAAGCAGCTCATCGCAGCCGAACAGCTCGTCGACCCTTTGAAGCTTCAGGGAGCGTCCACGAGGGTCCCCTACACAACAGAAGCTCAACAGAACAGCGTGTCCCACCAGGACGTGGTGTCTATTCTTTCTTTGCATTTTGGATCCTCTTGGGCCCCCTCGGGGTTCCCTGGGCTGTCTCGGAATTCTCTTCGCTCTCCCTGCGTGCCTCTCTAGCGCTCCTCTGGTTCTCCTAGACACGTCCAAAAGAGCCTCCAACTATAACTGACATTGAACGAAACAACACATTCAATCAGCAAGCGGATTCTGTTATTCTTCAGGCCCTCTCGGAGCACTCTTGAGCACCCCTGGGAGCTTCCTGCGAGCCTCTCCATTGCTCGAAGGCGCGCCCAAGAGGCCCCAACAATTAACATATATTAACAAAACAGCGTGTCCAATCCAGAAGCGGATTTTGTGACATTTCTGTTGACTGTCATCCCCTTTTGGAACTCTCTTTGGGGCTTCTTAAGGGGGCCCTCTTGGACCATTTTGGGTGCTCCTGGGCCGTCTCGGGGGTCTCTAGGGCCGTCTTGGGGCCATGTCGGGGGTCTAGGACCGTCTTGGAGCCCCCTTTGCGCTCTCGTGGGCAGCTCTAGGGGGCCTCTTGGGGCTGTCCTGGGAGGCGCTTGGGGCTCTCTTTGGCCGTCGTGTGGTATACTCTTGGCGGAGGCGCCGCCACGGGGGCCCGGCGCCCATCCAGGAGAGCCGCGCGAAGCGCCGGCAGTTATATGCTGAGGCCGTTCTTTGGTCAACAAAGACTGAGGCTGACCCAGGGACTACGTCTAAGGCAAGAGGCCTGATCTGATCGGGATCGTCTCGGCGACCACGAGTGCTGAGTCACGAGTCACATGCAGGGTGGGAGCCGATTGTCCGCAAGTCTGCTTGCCTTGTGGCCTGCGACTCGTTGCCTGATCACCTGAGATCTTCGCTGCGTGCTTCGTTGCTTGCTCGTCCGATCGCTGCCGCTTGCTGCCGCTTGCTGCTGCTTTGTGCTGCTTGGTGTCACTTAATGCTACTCGCTCCTGTTTGATATTTCTTGCCTCGCCTGACCAGTACTTGCTGGTACGTGCTGCTTCTTACTGCGGATTGGTGCTGCTGTGTGGTGCTGGTTGGTGCTGCTCGGCTGTTGCTGCGTGCTGCTTCATCTTGTTGCCTTGCCGCTGCCGCGTGCTGGTGCTGCTTGTTGCTGCTGCCTGTTCTTGTTGCTTGAGGCTTGCTGGTGCAGCCTGGTGCTAGTGATTGCTGGTGCTGCCTGCTGCATGCTGCTGCTCAGCATGTGCTGGGGGCTCATATGTGCTGCTGATCGTGTTGCTTCTTGCCATTGCCGGAAACTTTCGGGGATCTCTTGGTGCTCTCCAGAGCGGTCTTGGGAGCATCTTGGGCAACGATAGCGTCGATGCTGGGATCAGCTGAGGAACGTTTGAGGCTTTCTGGATCGATCTTGGAACCATCTCGGGCATTCTGGCAGCCTTTGAGGGAAGGGCGAGCAAAGGTAAATGTCTTGGGGTCCACCTTTGGGCCAGAGGAGGGCCATAGTGGAACTCTCTTGAAGCCTCTTTGGGCTGTGTCGGACACTCTTCGTGGGCTCCCGTGCGGCCTCTCTGGGCCATATTGGAGTTCCTGCGTGCCTCCTGGGGCCCTTCTGAGATGTCTCTGTGCCGTCTGCAAAAGTATCGGGGCCACTCTAAGGCCGTCTTCTGGGCTTCACGGGCTGGTGCTGGCGGTTGCGTACTGCTGCTGGGTGCGGCTTGGCGCTGCTGCACGTGGCTCCTTCTTGGTGCTGCCTCATGCTGCGCACCTGCCCCGGCGTGCTGCTGCTTGCTGCCGCTGCTTGCGTGCTGTTGGCACTGCTTGCAGCTGCTGCGTGCCGTTGCTTCTTGTGGCTGCAGGGTGCTGCCGGTTGCTGGTCCCGCTTGCTCCGTGCTGCTGATGGATGCTTCTGCTTGACGGCGCAGCCTGCTGCTCCTGAGCGAGGAGCGAGGGGCCAGGATCGAGGAGGGAGGAGGAAGAAGCGAGGGAGGAAGGGCCGAGGGGGGAGGAGCGAGGGCTGAGTAGAGAAGGGGCAAGGGGGAGACGCGAACAGCCGAGGAGGGACGAGGGGACGGGGACGTGCGAGCAGCCAAGGGCGAGGAGCGAAAGGGCAGGGGAGGAGGAGCGAGCATGAGTAGGAAGAGAGGACCAGGAGCGAGGAGAGATGGGCGAGGAGCGAGGAGCAGTGGGCGGGGAGCCATAAGTGAGATGCGAGGGGTAAGGAGGGAGGCTCGAGGAACGGCCGGCACACGAATCTTCCAATGACCTCGACCCTCTTGTGGCCGAACACTGGATTCCTACCTGGCCGCTCATGGGGCCCTTTTTGAGGCAAACGTCCCTTGGGGCCTCTGGGTGCTTGTTTGGGATGGTCTGGGGGCGGCTGGTGGGTGCCGTGGGTCCACCTTTGGGAAGTCTTGGGCCGTTTGATGGCCTCTTGAGCTGGAACCCTCTTCGGCCGTCTGGAAACCCTCTCGAGAGCGAAACCCTAAGTGCACGAATTCCACTTGTGCTTGCGGACTCCTTGCTCGGGCTGTTCTGGGTAACTTCTTCGGCCGCCTGGAGGCCATCTTGGGGCGCTCTTGGGCTGTCTTGGGGCTCTCAATGGCCGTCTTGGAGCCCTCTTGGGCCGTCTCGGGCTTCTCCTGGACCGTCTTTTGGCCTTTGCGGAACTCTCTTGGGCCGTCTTGGAGCGTCTCAGGTGCGCCAGAGGACGCGCCAGGACCAGCCAGGCCGATTTTGACTCACTCTATCGAGCGTCCTTCCTGCACGCGGTGGTACCTCCATTGAAATATAGGTAACGTCGGGCTCCAGCTTCGCCTCCCACATCTCGCCGAGCAGCGCCAACGCCAACTGCCACTGCTCGCCCTTCTCGCACGCGCTGATCCCAGAGCTGTAGCTGACTAGGGCAGACCTGTGGACTCCGTCCACGACATCAGCTCGACGTGGCGAGGGGTCTCTGGGCAAGCGCGGCGTGCCTGTCGCCTCTCGTCCGCTCCCCCGCTCCTGGAGGGAATTCTGAAGGCACTGAAGGCTTCGTGGGGGCCGTTTCGGAGCCTCTTCGGCCTTCTTTTGGGCCTCCCGGGGGGGCTCTTAGGGCCCTCTCGGGCCGTCTTGGGTGCCTCTTGGGCCGTCTTGGGGCCGTCTGAGACCCGCCTCGGCGCCTCTTGGGCTGTCTTGGGCCGTCTTGGGCCGCTCCTGGGGCCGTCTTGGGTGCCTCTTGGGCCGTCTTGGGCGCCTCCTGGGCCGTCCTGGGGCCGTCCTGGGGCGTCTTGGGACCGTCTTGGGGCCCTCCTGGCCCGTCTTGGGGCTCTCTTGGGGTCCTCTTCGGCCGTCTTGGAGCGGTCGGGGGGCTTCTTGGGCCGTCTTGGAGCGTCGGGAAGCCGAAGAGGCGAGGAGGCCGAAAACATCGAAAAACACAATAGAAATCTACGATTTCTGTCGCTCGGGGCCCTCTTGGGAGGCCTCTTGGGAGGCCTCTTCGGGCGTCTTGGACGCCTCTTGGGCCGTCTGGGGCGAATCTCGGGCGTCTTGGGCCCATCTTTAAGCGTGCCGGGGCTCTCCGGGGCCGTCTTGGGGGCTTCTGGGGGCCCTCTCGACATGTCCTGGAGCCTGCCTGGGCGGCCCGGGGCGGCCCGGGGCCAGCCCGGGGCGGTTTCGGTGCATTGGGGCCTGCGCCCTTCTGGCACGCACTGGGCCCTGCAATGTAGTAGAGACTAGGGCTGACCCGCGGCCTCGGGCCGCGGAATTTGCCCGCCCTGGCGTGCACGTGGAAGTGGAGCGTCTCTGGGGCCTCGCGGGTAAGGTGAGGTTGGAGGGGACGGCGTGGATGGAGGAGGTGGCCGCTGGAGGGGAAGGTGGGCGAGGGATGCAGGCAAGCAGGCCTGAAGGCAGGAACGCGGTGGTGGAGGCGGTGTCAGTGGAAGCACACCCATGTAGGCATGACATTTTGTGGACAGAAGCTGTTTCTGACGCCGCAGTCTGTGTTCATCATAGCTTCTGCGGGGAAGGTAGCCGTGAGAAGTTTATCTGCTCTTCGCCGGGACCGAATGATAATTTCATCTGGCAGTGTGGTGACAATGAGGCCAGTGGGCGCGGCCTGGGAGGCCCGCAAGAGGGCGGCGAGACGGAACTCCCTAGGAAGGGCCCCAGTGCGAGGACACGAATCAACTTTTCGAGCGCACCTCCCCAAGGCGTCCCCAAATAGCGCAGAGATGGCTCCCAGAGGGTCCAAGAAGCCTCCAAAACGATGTTGGAAGTTCGACGCTCCCCAAGAGAGAAGCATCCAAGACCTCTCGGGGGCCGCTTGGGGGCCTCTTTTCGTCATCCTGGGGGTGGGTCTCTCGGAGCCCTCTTGGGCAGTCTTGAGTGCATCTTGGGCCGTCTTGGGGCGATGTGGGGCCGTCTTGGGCGCCTCTCGGACCATCTTGGGGCAATCTTAGGGCCATCCTGGGCCAATATTGGGCGCTACTGGGGCTGTCTTTGGTGCTTCTTGAGACGTCTCGGGCGCCTCTGGAGCCGTCCCGGACGGCCCAGAGACCGTCTTGGAGACTGTCCAAACGGAAAAGCTTGGAGACGGGGCGGCGGGGGCCTCTACAACCGTCTTGGAGACGGGGCGGTGGAGCCGTCTTGGGCTATTCTTAACTGCTCGTAGGGGCTGTCTTGGGTGCGTCTTGGGCCGTCTCGGGCGCCTCTGGAGCTGTCCCAGGGCAGTGTGTGGCCCGTTGGGCGCCCTCATGGGGGCGTCTGGGCGCGTCTTGGGGCGAGCTGGGGGGCCTGTATAGCCTTTTGGACGCTGCGATGACGAAACAACAACAACAACCACACCAACAACAATATATATATATATATATATATATATATATATTGAAAATGTGCGTTTCCCGTCGGGAATGGGACGATTTGGGCCTCTTGGGGCTCTCCTGGAGGCCCTCCTGGGCCGTCTTGGGAGCCTCCTGGTCTGCCTTGGGGGCCTCTGGGGCTGTCGTGGGGCTCCCAAGGGTGCTCTGAGGCCGTCTTGGCGCCCCCTGTTGCCTCTCGGAGCCGTCCCGTTGGCCATTCTTGGCTGCTCTTGGGGCTGTCTTGGGTGCGTCCTGGGCCGTCTCGGGCGCCTCTGGAGCCGTCCCGGGGCCGTGCAGGGCCCTTTGGGAGCCTCTGGGCGCGTCTTAGGGCGAGGTGGAGGGCCTGTATAGCCGTCTTGGACGCTGCGAGGACGAACACATGGAACATAGCGAAAATGTGCGTTTCCCGTCGGGAATGGGACGATTTGGGCCTCTATGGGCTTTCCGGGGGGCCCTCCTGGGCCGTCTTGGGAGCCTCCTGGCCTGCCTTGGGGCTCCCCAGGGTGCTCTGAGGCCGTCTTGGCGCCCCCTGGAGTCTCGGAGCCGTCCCGTTGGCCATTCTTGGCTGCTTTTGGGGCTGTCTTGGGTGCGTCCTGGGCCGTCGGGGCCGCGTGGGGCCCTTTCGGGGCCTCTGGGCGCGTCTTGGGGCGAGGTGGAGGGCCTGTATAGCCGTCTTGGACGCTGCGAGGACGAACAAATGGAACATAGCGAAAATTTATGTTTCCCGTCGGGAATGGGACGATTTGGGCCTCTTGGGGCTCTCCTGGAGGCCCTCCTGGGCCGTCTTGGGAGCCTCCTTCTGAGGCCGTCTTGGCGCCCCCTGGAGCCTCTCGGAGCCGCCCCGTTGGCCATTCTTGGCTGCTCTTGGGGCTGTCTTGGGTGCGTCCTGGGCCGTCGGGGCCGTGTAGGGCCCTTTGGGGGCCTCTGGGCGTGTGTTGGGGCGAGGTGGAGGGCCTATATAACCGTTTAGGGGGCCCTCCTGGGGTGCTCTGGGGGCGTCTTGAGGCGATCGGGAAGGCCTGTATAGCCGTCTTGGACGCGGTGAAGACGAAAAGAGCGAGCATATCAAACATGCACGTTTTCCGAAGCGAATGGGGCAAATTTTGCCTCTTGGGTCCCTTCTGGGGGTCCTGGCTTGGGGTCCTCTGGGGCCGGCTTGGGCGCCTCTTGGGCCATCTTGGGGCTCCCTGGACAGTCTGGGGACGCGCTTGGAGGCCTGTTGGGTCGTCCTGGGGCGGTCTTGTGGGTGTCTTCGGCCGTCTTGGAGCGTCGGCTAGCCGAGAAAGCGAGGATGCAAAGGCGGTCTTGTGGGTGTCTTCGGCCGCCGTCTTGGAGCGTCGGCTAGCCCAGAAGGCGAGAAGGCAAAACTCAGTTCAACAACCATTGAACAATTAAGGATTTTGGCCTCTGGGGGCATGCTTCGGAGTACTGTTGGATGCTCTTGGAGGCCTCTTGGGGGGGTCTTGGGGCCTTGTGTGGGCGTATGGGTGCCCAGGCTCGGAATGTCAGGGTTTTTTCCTGTTCTTTGGCCCCCTCTTGGGCCTGGCTTGGGGTCTTGGGACCTTGTGTGGGCGCATGAGGGCCCAGGGCTCGGAGTGTCAGGGTTTTTCCCATTTCTTTGGCCCCCTCGTGGGCCTGGCTTGGGTTCCTCTGGGGCCGTCTTGGGCGTCTCTTGGGCCATCTTGGGGCTCCCTGGGCCGTCTGGGGACGCGCTTGGAGGCCTGGCAGGCCGTCCTTGGGCGGTCTTGTGGGTCTCTTCGGCCGTCGTGGAGCGTCGGCAAGCCGAGAAGGCGAGGAGGCAAAACTCATTCACACAACAATTGAAAACATTACTCTGGCGACGTACCCAACCCCTGCGCAATGCAGGGCACGAATAGCCTGGGACACGTTATACAGAGGTGATGACGTGAAATGGGCACATCTAATTCTGCGAGCTGAATTCGTGAAGCTCGCAGCCCCCCAAGGACGGCGAACTCCCGCTCAGATCTGCGCGGTGCCTCACTCCGCTGGACCCACCAGCAACCCTCGAAAGTGGCGACAGTTCCGCAGATCGCAGCCGCCCAGGGACGGCAAGGTCTCGCTCAGATCTGCGCGGTGCCTCACAGCAGCACTCGAACGTGGCAAACATTCCGCAGATCGCAGCCCCCCAGGGACGGCGAGGTCTCGCTCAGATCTGCGCGGTGCCTCACTCCGCTGGGCCCACCAGCAGCCCTCGAACGTGACGACAATTCCGCAGATCGCAGCCCCCCAGGGGCGGCGATGTCTCGCTCAGATCTGCGCGGTGCCTCACTCCGCTGGACCCACCAGCAGCCCGCGAACGTGGCGACAATTCCGCAGATCGCAGCCCCCCACCCAAGGCCGGCGAGGTCTCGCTCAGATCTGCGCGGTGCCCCACTCCGCTGGACCCACCAGCAGCACTCGAACGTGGCAAACATTCCGCAGATCGCAGCCTCCCCAGGGACGGCGAGGTCTCGCTCAGATCTGCGCGGTGCCTCACTCCGCTGGACCCACCAGCAGCCCTCGAAAGTGGCGACAGTTCCGCAGATCGCAGCCCCCCCCACGGCGAGGTCTCGCTCAGAGCCTCACTCCGCTCCAGCAGCCCTCGAAAGTGACGACACTTCGCAGCCCCCCCCCCGGCGAGGTCTCGCTCTGCGCGGTGCCCCACTCCGCTGGACCCACCAGCAGCCCTCGAAGTGGCGACATTCCGCAGATCGCAGCCCCCCCCCCCCCAGGGACGGCGAGGTCCTCAGATCTGCGCGGTGCCACTCCGCTGGACCCACCAGCAGCCCTCGAAAGTGGCCACAGTTTCGCAGATCGCAGCCCCCATCCCAAGGACGGCGAGGTCTCGCTCAGATCTGCGCGGTGCCTCACTCCGCTGGACCCACCAACAGCCCTCGAAAGTGGCGACAATTCCGCAGATCGCAGCCCCCCAGGGACGGCGAGGTCTCGCTCAGATCTGCGCGGTGCCTCACTCCGCTGGACCCACCAACAGCCCTCGAAAGTGGCGACAGTTCCGCAGATCGCAGCCCCCCAGGGACGGCGAGGTCTCGCTCAGATCTGCGCGGTGCCTCACTCCGCTGGACCCACAAGCAGCCCTCGAAAGTGGCGACAATTCCGCAGATCGCAGCCGCCCCCCAAGGACGGCGAGGTCTCGCTCAGATCTGCGCGGTGCCTCACTCCGCTGGACCCACCAGCAGCCCTCGAAAGTGGCGACAATTCCGCAGATCGCAGCCCGCTCAGATCTGCGCGGTGCCTCACTCCGCTGGACCCACCAGCAGCCCGCGAACGTGGCGACAGTTCCGCAGATCGCAGCCCCCCAGGGACGGCGAGGTCTCGCTCAGATCTGCGCGGTGCCTCACTCCGCTGGACCCACCAGCAGCCCTCGAAAGTGGCGACGGTTCCGCAGATCGCAGCCCCCATCGTCGGCGAAGAGAGGGCAGGAGGAGGCGGGAGGCGGGCGGGAGGAGGAGGGACGCGACCACAGTGCTCTATTCAGAACGAATACCCAACCAAGGAGGGTTGGGAGTACGGATTATGGCCTCTGTGGGCATGCTTCGGAGGACTGTTGGAGGCTCTTGGAGGCCTCGTGGGCCTTGTTGGGGGCCTCTAGGGGGCCTCTTGAACGCGCCTTGGAGCCTCTGATGGCCACTTCGGCGCGTCTTTGGGGGGAGGGCTCGATTTGTGACGCTCGGGGGCCAGGATCTGCGTGAGGGGTGTCGAAAAATGGCCCTCCAGTGAGGGCAAAGTGCACGACCTTTTCGCACGCGCTTCCGTCTGCCATAGAGAGACTAGTGTGAACCCGTGGATTAAATCCACGGTGTGCTGAACCTGGGACTCGCACACCGTGGGTGAACAGCTCGTCGAAGTTGAACAGCTCGGGCGTCCCTGGGGCCGTATCGGGGGCATTTTGGGCCCTCCTGCGAGGGCGTCTTGAAAGCCTCTTGCGGTTTTTGGGCGCCTCTGGGGCCGTTCCCCCGCTGTCCCCCAGAGCCTCTTCTCGGGGACAGCCCAGGAAACTTACTATGAGTGCGTGCTGTGAGGTTGCTGTCGAAAGTTCCCCCTGTCATCCTTGAGGCTTGCTGCATAGTCTGCTGCAGGCTCGGGGATCCGGGGCTGGAGGCTGTCCTGAGGAGGTCTGCGCCATCTCGGAGTGGCTCTAAGTCGGGCCTACAAGGGTATTTTCGAATAGTCAAAAATATACAAAAATGGTCAAAGAATGCTAAACAATCGTCCCCATACAATTTTTTGTTGACTATTTTTAAATATTCCTCCTGTAGAGGGACAGGCCCGACGTAAGCTTGGTGCGCTTCTGAGCCCGTCATGGCGAGAAAGTGGGACACATTGGGAAACACATGGTTTTTGCTTATTTTTGGTCTCCCGCGTCCGTCTTCGGAAACCTCGTGGGCCCTCTGGGGCCGTACTGGGGGCCCCTTGGGCCATCTTCGGGCCATGATGGAGGTCTGGGGCCGTCTGGGAGTCTTGCTTGGGCCCTCCGGGGCAGCGCCTGGGGCGTCTCGGAGGGCAACGTGAAGCTCTGCAAAGCTCGCCGGGGCATGTTCTGGCCCGTCTTGGGGCCCTCGTTGGCGGTCTTGGTGGGCTCGTGAGGCCCTCTTGAGCCATCTCGGTGCGATCTTAGAAAGACCTGAAACTGTGTGGGGCCGTTCTGGGCCCGTCATGGGGAGACCGTGGAAAATCTTGGAACGTGCATGGTTTTAGCTTGTTTTTCGCCTCGTGGGGTCGTCGTCGGGGTCCTCCTGGGCCCTTTTGGGCCGTCCCGGAGGCCTATTGGGCCGTCCTAGGGCTATGTTGGGGGTCTCGGGCAGATTTGGAGCTCGCTGAGGTGCCTGTTGGGCAGCTCCTGGGGCCCTCTTGGGGCCATCTTGGGGGCCACCGGGAGCTGTATGAGGCTGTTTTTGACTTCTCTTGGGCAACCTTCAGGCCCTCTGGGGCCGGGGCCGTCTTGGGGCAATTAGCGGGGCCTCCTGCAGCATCTTGGGGCGATCTGGGATGGCCCTGGAGCCGTCTGGGACTGGTGTAGGCCTCATATGGGGCCGTTCTAGGGCTGAAATGGCAAGAACACGTGAAACCTTTAAAAACCAAACGATCGAACATCGATCATTTTTGGCCTCGGGGGACCGTCATCGGGGTCCGGTTGGGCCGTCTTCGGAGGCATTCGGCCGTCGTCGGGCTGTCTTGGGTTGTCATGGGGCTTTGTTCGGGTTCTCTTGGGACGTCCTCCTGCCCTTCCGGGCGTCTCGGAGCGGTAGTGGGGCTGCCTGCTCTTGGAACCACCTGGAGGCTCTCTGGAGCCGTCCGAGAGCGGCGGGGCGCTCCGGGCGCTCGGGGGCATGGCCCCTTTCGCACGCGCAACGACCAGAATTGTAGTTCAGACGACGTTGGGCACCAGCTTCGCCTCCCACATCTCGCTGAGCAGCGCCAGAGCCCGCTGCCACAGCTCGCCCTTCTCGCACGCGCTGATCCCAGAGCTGTAGCTGACTAGGGCTGATCCGTGGCTTGACAGCCACGAGATTTGTCCGAGATGGCATGTGATGCCTGGGCAGAGATTTTGACGAAAGAGTTTCGTAATGACGTTGGGCCCGAACTTCGCCTCTGCTGTTGCTGCCTGCAGCTGCAGGATGCGGCTGCCTGCGGCATGTTGCTGCTTCTGCCAACTGCTGCTGTTCGCTGTTGCTACTTGAGGCTGCAGAGTGCTGTTTCTTGGTGCCCTTGGCAGCTTTCGCAACCTGGAGTTCGTGAGAGGACCGATGAACGAGGAGTCAGGGTCGAGGGATGGGGTAGGAAGCGGGAAGCGATCTGCGAGGAGCAAGTAGCAAGGAACGAGATGGAAAACAACGGTCGAAACCATAATATATATGTGTGTATATCGGAGGTGAGGGGGTGAGATCGAAATGGAACGGAGAGCACCCCTACCGGGAAATCGATTTCGGTTTCGTGTTCGTGCGTGCCGTGCGGGCGAGGCGAAGCTGCGTGGGCGGGCGAGAGAAAGTCTCCTGTGGCTGAGGCGCGGCCGGACCAAATGTCTCCCTTCCGGGCGGCCGGTGGCCCGCGGTGTCCCGCTGGTGCCCCGCGAAAGTCCCGTGCGGCCGAGGCGCGGCCGGACCAAATGTCTCCCTTCCGGGCGGCCGGTGGCCCGCGGTGTCCCGCCGGTGTCCCGCGGTGTCCCGCGGTGTCCCGCGGTGCCCCGCGGTGTCCCGCCGGTGTCCCGCGGCGTCCCGCGATGATGGTGATGATGATGATGATGATGATGATGATGATGATGATGATGATGATGATGATGATGATGATCGTGATGCTGATGATGATGCTGATGATGATGATGACGATGATGATGATGATGCTGATGATGATTGTGATGAAGAGGACGATGATGATGACATGATGATGATGGTGTCCCGATGATGATGATGATGATGATGATGATGATTATGATGATGATGATGATGATGATGATGATGATGATGGTGTCGATGATAATGATGATGACGATGATGATGATGCTGATGGTGTCCCGATGATGAGGATGATGATGATCATGATGAATATGTTGATGACCATGATGATGACGATGATGGTGTCCCGATGATGATGAGTATGATGATGTTGATGTTAATGATGCTGAATATGATTGTGTCCCAATGATGATGATGTTGATGATGATGAGGTTGATGATGATTATGGTGTCCCGATGATGATGATTATTATGATGGTGATGATGATGCTGCTGCTGATGATGATGGCGTCCCGATGGTGATGATGATGTTGATGCTGATGTTGGTAATGATGATGATGGTGCCCCGATGATGACGATGATGATGCTGATGATGATGCTGATGATGCTGATGATGATGTCGATGATGAGGATGAGATGAGGATGATGGTGCCCCGATGATCATGATGATGATAACGATGGTGATCATGATGGTGTCCCGATGATGATGCTGCTGCTGATGATGATGATGACGATGACTGTGTCCCGATGGTGATGATGATGATGCTGATGTTGATGATGATGATGATGATTGTGGTGATGGTGATGATGATGATGATGATGATGATGATGATGGTGGTGTCCCGATGATGTTGATGACCGTGATGATGATGATGATGATGATGATGATGATTATGATGATGATGATGATGCTGGTGTTGATGATGAGGACTGTGTCCCGATTCTGATGATGTTGGTGATGATGATGTTGATGTTGATGTTGTTGTTGATGATGATGATGATGATGACGTTGATTGTGGGAGCGGTTGTGATATCGATAGTGAGATCGATCGTGAGACCGAATGTGATATCGATTGTGAGATCGATTGTGAGATCGATAGTCAGATCAATTGTGAGATAGATCGAGTGAGATCGATTGTGAGATCGATCGAGGGAGATCGATCGAGCGAGACCGATACTGAGATCGATAGTGAGACCGATCGAGTGAGACGTTGGTTCCTCCCCCCCCCGAACCTCCTTATCACCCGAAGGGTGATCGTATAGGTATATATATATATAGAGAGAGAGGGAGAGAGAGAGAGAGAGAGAGAGAGACAGAGAGAGAGAGAGAGAGAGAGAGGCGAGGAGGGATGAGGGAGAGCCGATGGGGGAGGCTGACGTCAGTAGTCAAGAGAGAGAGGGGAGGGGCCATGAGAGAGGTGGGAGGAGGAGCGAGGAGGGGGTAAGAAGAGAGGAGCCAAGAGCGAGGATTTCCTCTTCCTATATTTTTATAAGCCCGGGCGGGGGGAAAACCCGTCCCCCCCCCCCGTCCCCCCCCCCGCCCAAAACCGGACTCCTGGGACCTGGGGCTTTGGGGCCCTCCGGACGGGTTTTGAAGCGGCCACCTGGCCTCGCAAGGCGTTTTGCCAAGCCTTCCCAGCACACTTAGGGCGATCAGGGGGGTCATCGGAGACGTCCCAGAGACCCCCAAGACAGCACAAGAGCGCTCCAAGAGTGACCGACGTGACCTCAAGATGGCCCAAGAGGCCTCCAGGACGGCCCCAAAGAGGCCTCCAAGAGCACTCCCAAGAAGGCCCCCCGAGGCAAAAATCATTGATTTTCTTTGGGTTTTTGGTGAATTGTGGGGTGATCCTCTTTCCGGCTTCCCGACGCTCCAAGACGGCGGTCTTCTGGGCGTCCGAAGCCGCCTGGGAGGTTCCCAAATCGCCCCACAACCATCCGAAAGGGCTTCCAGGCAGTCCAAGAAAGCCCCAAAACGGCACAACACGGGTCCAAGATGGCCCTCAGAGAGCCCCATGGCGGCCCAAGATGGCCCAAAGACACCCTCCGAAGAATTCCAAATCGTGATTCGGTCGTTCAGGGAGACGGCGGTTGGAGGCAGGGTGGCCCGAGGAAACCCCCGGAGGCCCCCAGAATACGCCCAGGAGGCCTCCAGAAGGCCTTAAGAAAGCCCGAAACAGCTTTTGTGAGGCCCCTAGAGGCTCTCCACGGAGGAGCCCCCGCAAAAAAGAGCTGAGGAGAATGGGGGGAATGCGCAGGGTATGGCGAAAATAAGGAACAATAACCATGGAGGAAGGATAACGAAAAACATCATTATAGCGGCGATGCCGGAAAAAGGCAACCAGGAATTATCGCTAAATTGTCGGCTTGACCTTCCTGCCATTCCGCCTGCATACCAAACTTCAAGGACCAAGGTGCATGGCGCGAAGCGCCACTGCAGTCTTGTATATATATATATATATACATAGATAAAGAGATAGATCGATAGAGAGAGAGAGAGAGAGAGAGAGACAACAAAAAGGCCAGGAGCGACGAGAGAGCGTGGAGCGATGCACGAGACGAGGCCAGCACGCGAATGCCTCAATGGCCTCGGCGCGTGTGTGTGGCCGAACATCTGGTCTCGTCGTGGGTCGCCGATGGGGCTCATTTCGGTGGCCAGTGCGGTCAAAGAGCTCTCTCAGGGATCTTCCCTCGGAAGCCTCTGTGAGGCGTCGTGTGGGGTGTCTTGGGCCTCTCGGGGCCCTCTTGGGCTTGATTGGAGCCTCGTGCGGGCCTCCTGATGCTTTCCGGGGGGACTCTTGGGGGTATGTTGGCGGTCTCGGGGGCCATCTTGGGGCGGAGGGTGCGACATGCTAGCTCAAGTTTCCTCTCTCGGGTCCCTCTCGGGGTCATCATGGGCCGTCATTGGTCCCTCTTGGGCCGCCTTGAGGCCCTCTTGGGGCGGTATCGGGGGCCCCTTGGCCCATCCTGTAGCATTGGAAGCCCGAGAAGGCAAGAACGTCGAAATCCTTCAAACACCCATCGGACATCGAAATCCATGTTCTTGACCTCTCTGGGCCCTCTTTTGGGGGGCCCCATTGGGACTTTCTTGGGCCGCCCCTGGGGCCTTCAGGGCCGCTGGGGCCGTCTTGGGCGCCTCGTCGCCCGTCCATGGGCTCCGCTGGGCCGCATGGGGGGCTTGACCCGAGGAGGAGGAGGGGGAGGAGGAGGAGGAGGAGGAGGAGGAGGAGGAGGAGGAGGAGGAGGAGGCGGAGGAGGAGGAGGAGGAGGAGGAGGAGGAGGAGGAGCTTCGTGGAGCCCTCTTGGGCCCCTCGTGGGGCCGTCAGGGGCCGCCTTGGGTCCCCCTCGGGCCGCCGGCAGCAGGCCCTCTGGGGCTGCCTGGGAGCCCTCTTCGGGGCTTCGGGAGCGGCCTTGGGGCGACGCGGGGAGCGTCTCGTGCCCTCACGTGGCATCGGGAGCCTGGGAAGGGAACCGTACCATGCTGTCGGACTCGATTGGGCAGGACGCGCGAGAGGACACAAGAGCCTTCCGAGGGCCACGCTGCCACAGGAGTGCAGGAAGCACGGGTCGCGAGGCACAGGACACGGGGGTACCCTCGATTTGGCAGGGTCGACCTGCTCATCCGGGCCGCCTGCATTGAAATCCTGGGAAAACGAGTGGAGGTTACTCCAGATTTCGTAATAAAAGGGAGGGGGTCTGGACCCTCCAAGACAAGCCATTTCAGACCTCCCCCGTGGGAGAACCCTCCAAAATATCGTCCCCAGACCCCCCAGGCCCTCCAAGATAGCCTGGAAGAGACCCCCCCTCGAAATGAGACCCCCCTCCCTTTATTACGAAATCTGGAGTACTCATTCTGCTTTGGCTGGGCCCTCTTGGGCGGGGCCTCGTCGACCGCCTCTGGGCCCCGCTCGGCCGTGCGGGGGGCGGCCCGAGGTGCGCAGGGCTGTCGGAGCTTGCACCGGGAGCGCTTCTCGGTCTCCCGGGGCCTCTCGCCGCTCGAGAGGCGCGACTGATCCGCAAGACTTTCTCGCACGCAGAGGTTCCGCAGTGTACAGTCGGCCTCGATTGGACAGGACACGCGAGAGGACACATAGAGGAAAGAGAACTATGCACATGCACCGATTCTGGCCAGGCCCAACCCTGAGCCCAGAATCGGTGCATACGCCCTCTTACCTTGGCCAGGAAGGTAGATGCACCGATCCTGGTTCAAGGGTGGGCGTTGTCAGGATCGGTGCATGTGCATAGT